AATTCTTAACAAAGTATATACATTTTTACATAATCTCATGAGATGAATGCAAATGTCATGTCATGCTCAAAATACATACTTTTTCCTTTTGGAAAATCTTGTGCATAATGCCAATTTGATTACACAATGATCCAACAAATTCAATGTAATTTTCAAAGGGGTGATAAATATGACTTAGGTAATCTCTAGGTTGGTGTCTGCAAGTAATAACAAGCACTACAAATCTCCACTTTACCAGTCTCTCACCGGAAGGCACGTGGTACCTCCTCTGCACGTGTTTTCGATTTTTCACCATGGACACTTAGGCCAACTTAACCAATACCAAACTACACCCCCTATTCGGACTTACCAACGTATTTATCTCAAAACAATTCAATATGTTCTTGTTTCATAAAACAATTTCTTTCTTAATGCAATAGTTTTCAAATTTTAATTCAATATTCATAACAGCCAAATGAAATGGAATGTCAATGCAACATGTATCAATACATTATAATATGTTTCCATTTTTAGTTTCCACCACACAATCTACCATTGCGATAAAAATCTCCATACTTCTTCTCAAGATAATTTCACAAATAAATCTACTGAGAGATAAATAATAATACCACATTATATGCTTTCTTCACATGTTAATCTCTATTTTTCCACTTGGACATTTCAAGACCAAACAAAAATAAGCTATACAACTAGCTTCAATATTAACCATTTCTCATTCTTCCATGGAATTTCCTCTTCATACACAATTATAGGAATTTCTCAATCATATATTCATCATAATACTTGACCAGCATAGATTTCACTTACCATTATCCCAAAAAAATTCCCAATCTCTAGGGTTTTCACAAAACTAGGTTTTTTCCTCATTTTTTAAAGGACTTTTCCAAGACAACATTCCTTCTTAACAATATAGTTCATAGCCTCAAGAGTTTTTTTAAAAAAACATTGAGAAAACCTATTTTTAAAATCATCAAGAACTCATGAGCCAAAAATCAAGTTTCATTACTACAAGAAGAAGTTCCAAAATCAACATAAATTTGTAAATATGTATATAAGAGAATCCCTACCTCAAGCTTTGGAGAAGAAAAAAGAAGAAAACCCCCAAATTTGATGGTGTTGAAATCTAATCTCTACCATACAAAGCGTAGCCCTCGAGGAGTTCTCCAACTCTAATGAAGGAACTAGAGTCAAAGCTCTAATGGATTTGGAGAAATCAAAGGATTAATGTGATTTGGTGAGAGTAATGTAGAGAGAAGGAGGAGAAATGTGTTTTAGAGAGAGAGATGAGAGAAAAGTTAGGTGGGTGCTCAGCCTAAGAAAAGAAAAAGAGAAAATTTTCGGACACATCATATTCCCACACATGCGGCACCGTGTTCGCACGTGTGGCACGTACCTTTCATAGGTACGTCACTGTCTCCCGTATGTGCGGCTCACTTTCCACACCTACCCTCCGCTTGTGTATTTAAAGCAGTGTTGAACCATTGACGACCTCACATCACTACACATGCGGCCTCACCTCCCGCACGTGCAGCCTCACATCCACATGTGCGGTCTAAGCCCTGCATGTACGATCCTGCATCCACTCATAAATTACACTAGCTGAACCTGAGACACCCGTGATCCAATTTCATGCTTTTCGAAACAAGCGGAACTCAACTCCCGAATGAAATAAAGACAAGGATCCGAGGGAAGTTTCAAGAACGGTGAACTTAAACAGTCGACAAGACCTTAGATTAAATCCCGACACTTCCAACACGAGCAAGATAATCACAATTAAAGGAAAACGAGATGGGTTATATATACCCAGGCATCACATAGGATAGCAGACAACACTCAATAGTCAACACTGGCAAAGACTTGTTACCTTAAACCACAAGCCTTCTACCTTTACTCAGACAATTTCTGATTTGCCTCATGTTGAAAAGAAAATCATGAATTGTGAAGTAATGTTCCTTAAACACTACTTAGAACCAAAGTGCAATCTTAACTTTTATCGGATCACATAAACCTGCCACATTTGGGCTAATAGCCTTGAAAATGCACTCATTTTAATGTTCTCATAGAGACCATAACATAGTAATAGGTAATGCTTTTCACATCATTCTCTCATTATTGCTGAGACTTTCCCCTGCCCACCAGTTAAGGAGTTCCTCCACTGAGTTTGGTAATGCACCTTGCACATCCCACCACTTTAACATCTCTGACCAAAACCTTCTGAAAAAAATAAAAAATAAAAAAAAATCTGACTAAACTCTTTAAGCAACTGGGCAATACAAATAACACATGATTAAGTGGCTCACCCTCAGCTTTGCAAAAAATGCAAAGGGTTGATTCATTAGCATTAAGAACACCATTTGTAAAAGAGGTGTGCCAAACCCAGTTGTCAGAAAATTATACACAAATGAAATTGTAAGAGTACCTATTTTTGAGGTAGTCCAAACCAGTTTATTTTTTGTGTTTGACTTGATTGTAGGAGTTGCCTCTAAAAGTGCTAACATTCTAGTAACCTCCACCCTTTTCCAATCATATAGCTTATTTCTGAACTGAAACACCCACTCTCCTACAACCTCATTCCTTGTTAGCATTGAATTTAAGGACTCTCCCTTATTAACTACCAATCTATATAGAAGTGGAAATTCCTCTTTCTGACAAGTGAGAGAAAGAATCTCAATATATTTTTACACATCTCCAAACACTTTTATGTAGGACTTATGTGCAGGTTCCAATAGATTGATTTATTGCCCAATAGGTCATTTGATAATTAGCAATGTTTTTCTTCAAATACTAATAACAAACGTTACTAATTGTCAGTTTTCAGCAACAACTTACAAGATTCGTTAAAAAAATGTACTAATTCTAAATTTCAGCGATAGCTTAAAAAAATTTCACAAAAAAAGTTACTAATTGTCAATTTTTAGCTACAAATTAAAAAATCATCACAAAAAGCACTTTTTAGCGACTATTATGATAAGACCAACTTTTAGCGGTGAATTAATACGATTTAATGGAAATGAAATTCAAGTATTAACACCTGCTGGTAATTTACCAAGGGATGGGAGTTATTATTTTAAAAAGATAATAATTAAAAATATTATATTACCTTTACCTATCAGTTAATTTATCCACTATCCACCTATCTTTCTAAGTATTATCTATCTATTCACGTATCATTCCTCTATTTGTCCTTATGTACTTATCTGTCAACTTAATTTGTCTATCTATTCATATCACCACCACGACCAGTTGCTAGCATTAACTGCTACCTGTCACTTTTTGGCGAATTTTTTAAAGTAGGTGGTTCGACAATGATATAGTGGCAACAAAACTGGATTTTTACGACTTTATATCAACAACATACAGTACATGCAAGTCATGATTTCTCACTTTTACAACTTACTTTTTTTACATGTTGTAAATAATTTTTTAACCATGACATGTCTATTGCGTAGGTCGTAAATGTTAATATAGATGATTTTTTTACGGATTGTAATGTTAGTCGTAAATAATAAAACTTTCTATAACGTGCATATGGCATGCTATTAATATATCAACTATACACGTCACGCGTATACCAGCTGTTAAAAATATTAAACATTTCACGGTGCATAAAAAGCCAGCCTTTAAAAATTCACTTTCCACATCGCACAAAAAATTCACTGTTTAAAATATTACGCTTTTCACGACACACAACGCCAAAATAAAAATTTTAAATGCCAACACCAAAAAAATAAAAATAAAAAGAAGGATCAAAACCCCAGCTCTTCAGCACTAATACCCCAACTCTGGGCTCTAGAGGAACATTTATCTCAAAAAAAACGCTCCATGTATATCTCTATAGTGTCTCTCTGTTCGTCACTTTACTCTCTAATACTCTGTTTCTTCTCCACCGCTTTTCACTGTTGCCATTGCGCCACCGTGACCACCAGTGAGCCACCCGCATCGTCTTCGCCTCCGTGCTTCTGCTACCAGGGCCGCTACTTTTGCCAAAGTTGAAACCACATCAGGTATCTTACTATCTCCATCTCTCTCTCTCTCTCTCTCTCTCTTAATCTCAATCTCAATCTCAATCTTACCCAATTTCAAAACCATAACATCATCCAGCTTATTCTGATGATGGGTCAGATTTCGGTGCGTCATCTGTAACAGCAGAGAGTGAAGAGGATGAACTAGATCATCATCTGCTGACTGCACCAAATGGCGATGTGGCATTTCTGAAGGAAAAACCAGTGTGGCTTGCAAAAGAGCTCCTTTGATTTTTTTAATTTTTTCATTAATTTCCTATATTGGGTCCTGTTGTTTGTAGTGTATAAAATCTCAAGTGCCTTAGTAAACATTTCATCTCAATTAAATTGTTTGAGCTCCTCAATATTTTGTTTGCTGGATCAGTGATTGTTCAAGTGACTTGTTTGTTTCCTATGTTGTTCTGGTTATAGTTGGCTTTATCCTGTTGTACCATGGAAGTTTCCGACTTCTAAGTCATTGTGGAACCTGTCTGTTTATAAATTGCTAATAGCAGCTACTGAATTCAAAAAAAAAGAAAAGAAACACCGTCAAATACCCAATTTTACACTATATTGTTAATCCCTTTTGTGTGTGTGTGTGTGTGTGTGTGTGTTTTTTTTTCCCAAGTTGGTAGTTTTTCCAGATGGATGATTACGAAATTTATTCTAAGATTGAAGAATAAGGATAGCAAATTTATGCATGTGTCTTCCTTCAAGGATAACCAGCTTCTTTCACCCCTGGTTATTTTGGTAATTACCAGACTTCATCTTAACAAAATGTTAGAAATTGATTTCCTATTTGGTTCAAATTTAATACTGTAGTTTCAGTCCCGTTAATGGTCCTCTTTGGCTTTACTTAAATGGCTACTGTTATTGTGATTGGTCAAGGCATCATGGACAGGAAGGTATGGAGCTCATTTGTGGGACAAGAATTGCTGGAATGAATCACAAAACAAGAAAGGAAGACAAGGTTCAATATCACTTCTCTCCTCATATTATGTCGTCTTCACCTCCGTGCTTCTGCTATCAGGGCCGCTACTTTTGCCAAAGTTGAAACCACATCAGGTATCTTGCAATCTCCATCTCTCTCTCTCTCTCTCTCTCTCTCTCTCAAACAATCTGCCTCTCAATCTTAATCTCAATCTCAATCTCAATCTCTTTCTCTCTTTCTCTCCTTTTGTGTTTTGTGTTTGTTTGTTTGTTTGGTTGTTTGTTTTTTTTTCCAATTGGTAGTTTTTCCAGATGGATGATTACGAAATTTATTCTGAGATTGAAGAATAAGGATAGCAAATTTATGCATGTGTCTTCCTTCAAGGATAACCAGCTTCTTTCCCCCCTGGTTATTTTGGTAATTACTAGAAATTGATTTCCTATTTGGTTCAAATTTAATACTGTAGTTTCGGTCCCGTTAATGGTCTTCTTTTGCTTTACTTAAATGGCTACTGTTATTGTGATTGCTCAAGGCATCATGGACAGGAAGGTATGAAGCTCATTTGTGGGACAAGAATTGCTGGAATGACAGTAAATTTTATAAGTTGGTATGGTTGTAAAACCTTTGTTGTTATTATTGTGCATAAAATTTGTTATTAGGTGATCTATCATGCTATCTTAGGTTCCCATCCTGCCACATGATAACTTAAAAGTTGTGTTGAGTTTTGATCAATGGTTGAGATTTTGATGAGACTACTGCCAGTTATATGTTAGTATTACATACACTGGATTCTATCTCGAATAATGGAAGCTAAAATTATTGCAATTGGTATGTTGAATGGAACCCACAAATTCTACTCCTGGGATTGATTTTTGGTCCAGTTGAGGAGGGTGATTTGTGTCAAATGCTTTAAATGGTTGAGATTTATCCTAGGAAGCATGAGTAGCATCTTAAGAGATTTATCTATCCTAAAAGTATGCTATTTGCACCTCAAGTTAGTAGAAAATGTGTGTTTTGAATTTTGAAGTCATCGACATGATACTTGTTTTACTGTAGATGCATTCTCCAGATTACATTCTGGTTCTGTGAGTTTCTCAGTTAAAATCTATCTGTGTATCCCAGGAAAAAACATTATTTTAATATTGTACAAACCTTTCAAGTTTTCTTTGTCAATTCCGTCACGGTATCCAAGAATTAATGACCTCCTACAAAATGTTCAATGAAATAAATATATATGGTGTGCATGCTTTAAAATTGCTGCTTTTAATGCAGGTATCTAGTCACGAGTCACGACATTTAAGATAGTTCCAAGGGGAACCGAAGGAGCTGTTCGTGTTGAGGGAACCGTTGCTGGACTTTTAGCATCAATTCTCCTTTCTTTCGTTGGTTATCTGATGGGTGAGGTATAATAAATTCTCTTTGTTTTTACAATTCTAAATATTCGACTCTCATTCCCTCCACATTCTTTCAATCTTTTTCTCTTTTTTCACTTTGCTTGTCTCCTTTATGAACAAAACTTAAAACAGCATTAAGATGGTCGGAACTTTCATTCTGCTTGTCTGTTTTTTTTTAAGCTTTGTGTTATTAGAATCTTTCAACAGGCACTTTTATGTTTATATCTTCATAAGATATCTGACTAAATCTGTATTTTTCCTTCTCTTGAAAAAATAATTGGAAACAGATAAATGGACCCGAGGCTGTGATTTGTGTTGTAGCTTCCTAGATTGCTAATCTTGGTGAAAGCGTGATAGGTGCTTCCCTCCAAGAGAAAGAAGGATTCTGATGGGTAGGTGACCAACATGAATTATCATTTCAATTCTTTACATTTTATTGTGCCATCATATGTTTTTTAGATTTTTCCACAACTCAGATTCAACTGAATGAAGACTATAAACTATTAGGGATTAGTTTAATGAATCCTTTAACACCATTCTACTAAATCTACAATCACTTTCTTGACCTTTGAGATTACGAAGGTTTTACTCAAGGGTATATTAATTGTGTACCTATCACAAGCTCCCTTTTCTTAGGCATTTGAACCTTCGTATGAAAGATGAGGCTCTAACTTGTAACTATGTTGAGTTTTTGTTTGAGATAGCGAGTTGGTTGAGAAAGCAACTTTAGAGTGGTCATTGGAAAATTTATTTATTTATTTTGGATGGGGAGGAACCCATGGTTTAGCTTTAGCAAACTTTGATGGAACCTCTAATCTACCGTAAACCTCCCTCTGTCACCATAATCTCCACGGACCATGCACTTCAGTTAAGTCATAGGGCTTATGCCCTATTGTAGGTGGCCCCAAGACTTGAATAGGGGACCTTAGGCCTTGGGTGTCTCCCAAAGCCTTACCTGTTGAGCTAACCATTGGGGTTGGAATTGGGAAAACCACTTCCTTCTTCAAACCAATATTTTTAGTGTCACACTTAGTGTTTTTGGAGTAAAGAGAATACTGCGAAGACAGATTGCTACTCTGGATTCTAGGAGTTGAGAAAGGCTTGTTGCCACAAGTGCATTATACCTGCTACTATCTGAACAGATGCATGCATTGGCTTATTCCACACTAGCTGTTCCCTTCAAACATCTAATCTACACATTAGGCGTACTTCAAACGGAATAGTTAACATCAGACAGTGATGGCCCGATAAGGGCAGGCCAGGTACAGTATGGATTGGTGATTATCATTACACATACTACATCTGGCCTATTTTTTTTTAGGTTACCTTATGTCTGGTATTCTCCACTTCTGCAATTGTTTGTTGATTTTGAACAGTAAAGGATGCACTGCAGTGTTGTTTGATGCAACTATAATTGGTATAGTTAGGAGGTAATAGTGGGCTACCCACATTTCAATGCATTAGTTAGGTGGAGATTCAAAATTGTGTTGTGCTTTACTAGGGTGGAAGACCACGTGTTGCAGACTTCGTTCATGGTTCTGATGGATTAGGGAACATTTCCTTACCTCCTCCAAAATCCAAGAAAATTGAGAAGAAGGCATCGGAATTTTTGGTGGATATGGTTTCTAAATATCCTGGTGAAGTATCCATACTTGTGCTGGGACCATTGACAAATTTTGCTTTAGTAAGTTTTAATATCTTTCCTTTTTGTTCACTCTCACAAATAATGACATCTTCAAATTTTTCGGGTGTGTAACCTTTACACTCAAGAAGCATGCGTTTGTTTGATCAGGCAATGAAAAGGGACTCATCCTTTGCAAGCAAGGTCAAGAGAGTAGTTATTCTTGGTGGATCTTTCTTTGCATTGGGGAATGTCAATCCTGCTGCTGAAGCAAATGTAAGTGATTACCACCTCTACAATACGTTCTCCTATTCCATATGGTATGAAATAGAACATGCCTTATTTTATCATACAGTTCTCTTAGATGTATTGAATCTTTTTAGATTTGGAAGTGCAGAAAACTTGAACACCTATTGGGCACGTTCCATCTCATTAAATAAATTTGTAAAAAACCATAACTGTTAGTTTTCAGTGGCAGTGTCGTAATCTCTCTTGGGAGGGAGTATTTTATAGAAGTTGGAATTAGAGCTATCCTAGGCAAAAATTAGTGCTAAGTGCTAACTTTATAATGGTTATTATGAAGTAATCAAATCAGTTTAATTCATGCAGGTATGAGCCACTATCTTATTTTCTTGGGAGGGAGTAGTTTATCCATACTTATGATCTAATATATGCTCTTTCTACTGATGTTGTTTCAAGTTTGGTTGCTCTAAGAAGGGAAGCTTTTGAAGACGGAATCCAAGCTACTATGAATTTTCTAATATCTTTAGAACTTTTTGGATGGTTTTGAAGTTGAGAACAATTTTTGGTGTTTAGAAACATAGTTTTTGGATGATTTGTAATGTACAGACAACTTTTGGAAAAATTAAACATGACGTATAGGATGTGCTGTTAAAAGTTTTAATGGCATGCTATGGCATGCCGTTAAAAGTGAATGACTTTCCATGACTAGTTATGATGTACCTTGTGCGTCGTAGAATCGTATCCATGGCGTGCATTTGGCGCCGTAAAAACCTTTTTTTGGTGCCGTAATCCTTCAAAACAATAATTGTCCTTCTCACCAAATAATTTCATTAATCATATCATTTTCACTATAATGATCAATTGTCTGACCTAATATCATATCCTATTATCACTTAGATACCCTTTTATATATTAATGAAAGAAATATTGAGAGAGTGATTGAAAGAGCTAATACGCTCTGTAATTCAAAAATGTGTATTAAACCTGAAGAGAAGGCTCCATTATATAGGAGAGCTGATACAACATCATTATGATACTACAGCATGAAAGAAAACATATAGAAATAAAAAGCAGCCGAAAGCGAAGCATCTGATGAGAAGGCACTACCTATACAACTAAGCAAAGCACTACAACTAAGCATATGATGGAGAAGCACTAACAAAGCATCTGATGGAGAAGCACTAACTAATATATATTAAATATATATTAATGATATAAGCATACAGCTGGTATTATTATATTAACAATAGCTTAATTTCCAACAATTAAGTATATATTTTTTTGTAGGCACTAAAACAAAATAAACTTAAAAAGGAACCATTAAATTATATATTACAAGTTTACAAAATTGTTACATGGATCAAGTAATTCAAGCTCTCATACGAAACCTTAAAATTATCACATGGATCAAGCAACCATCAATTCGTTATATGAAACAGTGCAACAAAGAACTACAATTCAAGTGAAGCCTTGCCATTACAACAAAACCACAGAAATTAAAAGCAAGAAAAAACTCAAAGCCAAACACTAGAAGCTTTAGGGGACGCAACAAAAGCTACATCAAACAACAACATCTGCAAAACACAAGAAGCTAGAATTTCTAAATGGTTTGACTCAAACTTGCATGAGCTCATCTCCCAGAAATTTGACACTTATTCAAGGCTTGAAAGGTATCAGAAGCAACATCCTGTATCTTCAACAACATCCATTAATTCTGAGTCTATGTCTTCTTTGTCATTCAATTGTTGAGATGCATTTTTCTCCAACATTTTTGTTGCACCCGAGTGCTTAAGTAGAAGCCAGACATGTGAGAAACTGTCCACCATGCCTAAGCTCTTGAACATGGTGATTCACTGAGCAGCAGCTCGCAGCATAGCACAACATCTCTACCCATATATTACTCATGATCTCCCATTTGTCTTGCTTCTCCATTAAACTAGGGGCAAGTTTTTCTCCATTAAACTGGGCTTCTTCAAAAAATTTCTCCACATTAGGATAAGCTTGAGTAAAATTTTCACTGTTGTTACAGAAAGGTAAAGTAGGACAAAAAAGCAGAAGATGCATCATGTAATATGACAATATTTTGGTTGTTTCCACTTTGTTTGGGACTGACTTTGAACTTTCTGGTTCTGAACGATAGCAAATGTCTGTAGCAACGTGCCAAACGGCAATACTTTTGCCAAATTCTAGCTTGATACTCCAATTAGCATCCAATCCATATTTTTCAAGGGTCCACTCACCTCTTTTAATGGTATAAGCCTGTGAAGTTTCAACTTCCAAATCTTTCAGCTGACAGATGATAAGTTCTTTGATACTAAGGTTGACTCTATGCGATGGTAGGCTGAACTTTGTTGTTGTATATTTGTTGCAAAAGTTTAACCCAGATTGTCCCATAACCTCAGACCATCTTTGTTTTTAGAGATCACAAATTTGTGAAGATGAAAAACCGGAGTGACCAACTTACTTGGGTAATGCTTACATGCCCAAAAAATTGCCCAATCTGAACCAAGTTGTACAAGAGCTCCACCTATTTCTAGACAAATGGCTCCAACTAGCAAAATTATGGTTATCAGAAGATCACCTTTCAAATGCCCATCAGGCTTTTTACCTAAGAAAAAGCCCACCAACACAGTGACACTGTAAGAGATGCAAATGAGTCTGAGAATGCTTCCATACTGTAAAAATTGTGCCTACCTTACTGAAGAGCATGTCATACATCAACCCCAACTCAATCTCAATCAACTTGAAAGTATTGTGAGTAGCATTATCTTCATCAATTCACGAATTTTTTTTTGTCAATTCACTACAAGAAAATTAGGTTATAACAACGTTTTTGCTATGGCGTTTTTTCAGAAAACGTTGTTTCAAAAGTTTTCAAAAATACTTTACAAGCAACTCATTTTGAAAAACGCGTGCTACTTGTACCAACATATTTTCCCTTTCAAGGCCCACGCATTTTTCATTTTTCTCAGTCAGTCCTGAGATAGATCTAGGGTTCTGTCTCTTCATCACTCCTCTTTCTTATGGTGAAAGTTCACTAGATCGAGCATCGTAGGCTTTGATTTACGATCTCTCTATCCGACTCTCTCCATTTTGGCTCAAAGTTCTTGATCAGTCCGATTTGAAGATTAATTTTGTGAGTCTCATTCTCTGATTTTTTGATTTTGTTTATATACGAACACAAATCTGTATCTACAATCTCAGATTTGTGTGATATATATATACTTGTTAAGTGTTAGGGGTAGTTTGGTCTTTATGTATTATTCTTATTAGTATAAGTAGTTATGTGTAAAGGGGAAACCCTATGCTTTTTGAATCAATATTATACAGCAGCTTTCTCTCGTTCTATTTCTTCTTCTTCTTCTTCTTCTTCTTCTTCTTCTTATTCTTCTTCTTCTCATCTATACATTCAACATGGTATCAGAGCACTATCTTCTTCCTTGAAGATTGTTCCTTAGGCTTCATACTGTTCCTGGTACGTCTGTTATAGCAAAGCAAAGCTAAAAAAAAAAAAAAATACAGTATGCTCGAAAATTGATGGGTAATCACCCTATAATCTCATTTTGATTGTTTGGTCATTATTGATTGAGTTTTCTAATTCTTTTGATTTTTCGTCAAAATTGGGTGATTTTTCGAAAATCACTGTTTGATCCTATTTTTTCTGGTTCTGTCCCTTATTCTCCTATCCTTGGGAGCCGACTGGAACCCTAGAGGGGTTTATTGTCCCTGGTTTGATGTATTTTGGGTCTATCTTGGTTTTTTTATTGCTGTTCAGATGCTCTGCTTCGATTTTCTGGTTTGTAGTTGGTCTGGTTGCTCTATTTTGGACTTCTCTTGGACTGTTTTAGCCTTAGAAGGTGTTTTTGGTGTGCTGGTTGGGTGATTTCTGGACTTGTTTGATATCCAACTTGTGTTTTTTTGCACCCTCTTTTCTCATCTCATGGCTGACAACTTGGGTCAGGACTCTAAGGGCAAGGAGGAGAGTGGACTGAGTCGTGGTCCTACTCTTGGTGATAGTCCTTCTCTCCAGATTAGTCCGGTCAAACTTAATGGTTTTAATTACTTGATTTGGTCCCGCTTCTGTAGTCTTGCCATTGTTGCCCGGCGTTTGACTGGCTATATTACTGGGAGTACCGAGCTACCTACTGAGGATAGTGCTTTATCTGCTCAATGGATTTCTGAGAATGCTTTAGTTATGACCTGGCTCATCAATTCTATGGAGCCTACCATTAGTCGGACTTTTCTCTTGAGGATACTGCTCACAAGATCTGGATAGCAGCCTCTCAGATGTATTCTCAACAAGGGAATGATGCACAGGCCTATGAATTGCGTAAGAAGATTAGGGGTTTGGATCAGAAGGATCGCTCTCTGGCAGTCTACTATGCTGAGTTGAGTGGTTTGTGGCAAGAGCTAGATTTTTACTAGAGTTTCCAGCTAGTTTGCTCCAAAGATGCCACTATGTTTCAGCAGGCTGTGGAGAAGGAGCGGGTGTATGACTTTCTTGCTGGTTTGAATTTAGAGTATGATCAGATACGGGTTCAGATGTTGGGTCGCTCTCCGTTTCCTACATTGCGTGAGGCTTATGCCCTGGTTTAGCAGGAGGAGAGTCGTCGTAGTGTTATGGTGCATCCTCCTGTTCCGGATCGGTCAGCGATGGTTGTCGGCCCCAAGTCACGTGATACTCCGCCTTTTCCGCCTCCAGGTGGTGGTAAGGGTCCATTAGTTCGTGATTGTCCTAGGAATAACTTTGTTTGTGATGCTTGTGAGCTTGCTAAGCATAAACGTACTTGTTATCCTTCAATTAATAAAAGAAGTACTTTTCCTTTTGTGCTTATTCATATCGATGTGTGGGGTCCTTCCCTTCTTGTTTCTACCTCTGGTTATCGTTGGTTTGTCACATTTATTGATTGTTATTCCCGTGTAATTTGGCTTTATTTACTTCGTACAAAAAATGAGGTTTTCTCTTGCTTCAAAAGTTTTCATAAAATGGTATCCAACCTCTTCAATGCTACTATCAAAATTCTTAGGAGTGATAATGGGACTGAGTATGTTGATGGCGCTTTCCGGGCATACCTGGACGAGCATGGCATTCTTTATCAGACTAGTTGTGTTGGCACTCCTGAACAGAATGGAGTTGCTGAACGTAAGAATGGCCATCTCCTTGAGGTTGTTCGCTCTCTCTTGTTTACCATGAACGTTCCTAAGTCCTTTTGGGGGGATGCAGTTCTTACCGCGACTTACCTTATTAATCGTATGCCATCTAGTGTCCCTCACTTCCAACTTCCTCTTGAGCTTCTTCCTGTGACTTATCCCACTTCTTTCCTTCCGCCTCGGGTTTTTGGTTGTGTCTGTTTTGTTCATCTTCACCCTCATACTCGTGGGAAGCTTGATCCTAAGGCTGTCCGGTGTGTCTTTCTTGGTTGTTCTGATACTCAGAAAGGCTACAAATGCTATAACTCTCACTCTCATAAGCTGTATGTTAGTATGGATGTCACCTTCTGTGAATTTGAGTCATTCTTTTTTGGTCCTCCGCCATCTCCTTAGGGGGAGCGTGGTATCGATGAGATTGCGGATGAGACGGCATCATATCAGCATGAGTTGTCTTTTTTTCTTCCTACTCAGCGGGCTCTTATTTGTGGTGAGGGGGAGCCTAGAAGTTCTGTTGATGAGGAGTCGGATATCGGTGGTCGTTTGGACAAAGCTGATCTTAAGACTTATTCACGGCGTCAGAAAGAGCCGGCTTCTCTTGTGCCACCAAGTCAATCATCATCTCCTATGCCAGTTCCACACCCACTGTCCACTAACTCTTCAGGTAATAATCCTCATCTCATTTCTTCACCTGTTGTTGATGGTCCTGTTATGGATGATTTGAGTCTTCCTATTGCTCTCAAAAAGGGGGTTAGAGCTTGTACTTAACACCCTATTTCTAAATTCGTGTCATATGATTTGTTGCCTTCTCCGTATCATGCTTTTCTTTCGTCCCTTTCTTTTGTGTATTCCGCAGGGTTGGAAAGAAGCCATCAATGATCCTAAGTGGAAGGTAGTTATGGTAGAAGAGATGCAAGCTTTGAGTAAAAATAACACATGAGAGTTGATGTCTCTTCCGAATGGGAAAAAACCAGTCGGATGTAAGCGGGTGTTCACCATTAAGCACAATGCAGATGGGACGATTGAACGGTACAAAGCAAGACTAGTGGCCAAGGGATTTACCCAAACATATGG